AGGTGATGAAGGGGGTGGGTGACTGGATAAAGAAGGTGAAGGAAATAGCTAATGAATATATATGCATCACCCATGGACACGGACAATAATTTGGTAAAGGCCTAGGAAAGGGGAGTTGGGGGAGAGTAGAGGTGGGCAAAGGGAGGGAGGAAGGAGGGACTCCTGTACTAATGTCAACATTAAAAATTAAAAAAAAAGACTGAATTAGAAAATGGAAAAAATAGCTCTCAGACAGTAATTCAAGGATAATGTTAAGCTAAAGGATAGATACCAATGTTCCCTTGTCTTTCTATACATATGTTACAAAGACTGCATATCAGTAATCATAACCAAGTAGTTTTGTGCACCTGGAGTATTATTCCCATCTTAATAGACTAATTAGTTAAATATATATGCCTAATAATAGACTCGTATACATCCTTATGCACTAATTGAAAAATGGACACTGATTAACTTCAGATTAATCTCTTAAATATCAGCACACATGCAAACACTTAAAACAACTTCATTGCAGTTATTCCACTTTCTGGGCAACAATTAGTGTAGCAATTATTATCCTGCTCATGCAAGGAGCTTACACTAATTAGTACAATGAGGTTAAATCAGAACTGTTTCCAGACCCTGCTTTGTGAGGTGAGCAGTACAAACTCAGCTGCCCAAGTCAGCATTTTAGCTACAATTTCTGTAACTATGGCGGGAGGTCAGATGTGAATCCCATTTTGCTCTTAAAAATAACTGTGGGAGGGCCAGATATAACAAGTGTCTGATAAATTCTAATTAAGTATGGGTTTTATCTCCAATAACATGACTAAGATATTTATATGAAGGATTTGGGATTTTTAAAAATCCAGATAATGTTTCTGTGAATTTTTCCTTAGGAAGAAAATAAGTTTGAAGATGGAGCGTGTGGGAGGAGGGATGGTTGATCAATGTGTTCCTTCTTTAGTTTGATGGTGTTGTTTTAAACAGAGAAAAAAAATTTCAAACAGGATGCTGTCTGTGACTGACATATCAGTCCTCCCTAATTTAATTGCAGCTGAGTCATCAATACTTTAATTTCTTGAAGGTTGATGATTACAGTCATATAATCTTATTTATTTTAATTAAACTCTTCTTGCTTCCCACATGATCTGTGGTGACTCACCACAAAAACATGTATTTGTAAACACAGGGAGGCCAGACTAAAACCAAGAGATCAGAAACTATATAACACAAGTAGATTTTGTTTGTGTGACCAAAAAATTTTATGAAAGAAAATATTTATATGAATAAAAATCATGATCAGGAAAAGTGATGGATTGGGTCTATCATATATATACATCACACAGTTATCATGACTTAGGTTCAAATATGATTCTCAGTTGTGTGAAAAATGGGCTTTCTTGTGTTGACTTTAGAACAGTATCTCTGACATGTCCTCAACACTTTGATAGCAACTATGTCAGTAGGTTTTATGCAAAAACAGCTTATACTTATTTTGTTATAAAAGTTAACATGTTTCCAGGTCTCAGCTGTTTTAAGGTTCAGTTACTCAATTATACACTTCTGACGTAATGATAGTGTACTCTGCATGGGCTTTTATGGGTAATCATAAATTATACGCAAGGTAATCAAGTAATACGCAAATTATTTGGTTCTGGATTCAGGCACAATGCTAATCTTGAAATACAAAAGGTGCCAACCCAAACTTTTTAAAAAAATAATTACATTACAGAGGAAAGGAAGTAGACATATGAAACTAATATTTTAGACAGCGACAGATCTCAAAAGTAGGACATAGATGAACGAAGTTTATATTACCCATGTCATGTTTATTGTTTTTGTAAAAATAAATGTCATACCTTTTGTTTGGTGCTTTCCTGCTCTTCTGTTACATTACTGTGAAAGGCTTAAGATTGCATTTTGATTAATGTTTGTAACTTTCCAGCAGGGAGGTTTTTGCATATTAAAATGTCCACTGTGAATTATACCTTCAAGAAAATAGGTTGCTTTTTATGAGCACAGAATGCTCAAATAAAATTAGAATTATGGTGGTTAGGTTCAGAGAGCACCAGTGTTTGGCATTTGCCTTTCCTTCCTTGAGCTCTTTCTCAGTGTGCCCTCCAATCACCTCTGGGCTAATTTACCCAGATTCATTTGCCCAGGATGTACTGTCCCTGGGTATGACCAGAACTGGAAGTACTCTGATTCGATCACTACATCTTAAGTGAATGAAGATAACAGCTACAGACTCAATGTCTAAGATTTGTGGTCAAGAAGCTAAATTAACAGTGAAAGGATTAAGAAGCACAAGTTGGTAGTTACAAAATAGTCATGGGGATGTCAAGTACAGCATAGGGAATATAGTCGATAGTGTTGTAATAACTACGTATGGTGCCATGTGGGTACTGGAAATATTGGGGGAATCTATAAAGTGTATGATTGCCTAACCACGATGCTATACATAATAATACTGAATGCAAATTGTAATTAAAAAATAAAATTTAGCCTGGCTGGTGTGGCTTGGTGGTTCGATTCCCTGTCAGGGCACATGCCTGCATTGCACTCGATCCCTGGTGGTGGGCATGCAGGAGGCAGCCAATCCATGATGATTCTCTCTCATTGATGTTTCTATCTTTCTATCCTTCTCCCTTCCTCTCTCTCTAAAAATCAATAAAAACATTTAAAATAAAATTTTTCTAAAAGTAGAAAAACACAGTGCTAAAACAATTTTTTTTTTCAAATTAAGTGGTGATATACCAAAACTAGACGTTCTTTTGATTTGGATGTAGCTTCCAAGTTTTGGGAGACACTTCCATTCATGAAAGACAGACAAATTGGCCCCTGAAGAACAGTCCAGAAAAGAGAAAATGTGCAGCAGAAGAGAAAACCAGATGGTGGTGTTTCTTGCCCTAAAATAATGGATAGAGTAGGCTACCTGACGGTACCGTCAAGGTTACAGGTCAGACACCAGCAGCCTCTTGGACAGGTATCAAGCCTGAGACAGGAGTCAAATATAACCCTGTTCTTTGGTTTCTCTTCCTGCTTCCTGGGTCTGGGTGTGTAGGAGCAAAGATGTGTGTGGTGTGGTAAAAGTACAGTGTGAGAAAACAAGAAGTAAGAAAATTTTACTTTTAACTTCTGAGCCATAGTTTTGTCCGGTAAACTTGTTCTTTGGGGCTTTCAATGATGGAACAAAGAAGAGCCACTATATGCAGTGCGGCCCTCCAAGCTGAGCTAACGATGGGGATGGGACATATAACTGAAAGACTCAAGAGGGGGACCAGGTGTTTCTCTTCCAGCTCTCATTACCCTGAAGAATCTAAGTGGTGATAAAATGTAAGTACACAAACATCATTTTTACTGCAGGGAAGAAAAGCAGAAGTCGACAGCCTGATCCTATAGCTTTTCAGATATAATAAACCCACTGAATTGTGAAAGCACCTGGAATAAAACTTCTCCTTCACCCACTCATGTGTGACTTTAAAACTTAAAGCAACCAAACGGTTAATGAATGTCCCTTTCCCTGAAGTGTTCGATTTCTCAGCATCTCGTGAGTAACTCCTGTGAACTCGTCAATAAAATGCAGTGGTTTTCTCTGTCTTACTCATGTACTCCTGGAAAGGAGAATTCTCATTTGTAATTGCAATGACCACTATAATTCTTTACATTTATCAATATTATCTCATCAAGTCTTCAGAAGTTTCCATGTACCTTCATTTATCTTCAAACCACCCATATAAGATAAATGACATGTCCAATTTTCACATGTAGAAACTAATGCACAGTTCGGTTATCAGATTCTTTGTCCTAATACTTACAAACTAAAAGAAACGTAAACTAAGGAGAAAAAGGACCCTGTCATCTTCCAATCTAATCCCCCTCTCTAAGTTTTTGATCTAAATAATACACAGAGCCTAGCAAAGGCAATTGAGTGAAGGGAAAATGGGTTGTAGCCTTTGGTTTTTCAATTGGTCCCCAAAGAACAGGTCTGAAAGCCACATTCTACCTAGCAACTGTTAAGTGGAACAAATTTTCTCAGAGACATTTAGCCAAGCATTCCTGAGAATTGTGGAAGAAAGTAAGATGTAAAATAGGATGAGATGGGAAGAAGTATATAAACATCCAAGGACTTCAAAGTACCCAACTAAACAGAATTCTTCAAAGAGGAAGGAGTTAGACCTCTTACTTGCTCTATCTCTATCTTAAACTTCCAGGGCAGTGGTACCTCAATAAAGACTGATTGTGAAAAAAAATAAAAAATATAAATAAATAAATAAATAAATAATACACAAAATTTCATTAAAATGATGAATGCCAATTTCTTGCCAACCTCTAAAATGAAAGCACTTATTTTTAAATTGCTTCTGTAGGGGAGGAACAATTTTTCCTCTACTTTTCTAGGCACTTTTGGCTAATCTAATAATATAAGGCAGATTAATATAAAAAAACAAATTTAATTATGTATGTAGAAGAGCCTCACATAGA